TTGTTGAGGCCCACCCCGTCGGCCAGGTAGATGGAGGCTAGAACTAGCGGGCGATGTCCTGGAAGTTCGAGTGAAATTGCCGCGCAACGCGACTCTGTAACCTCTTCAGGCACTTGTTTTTTAGAGACTTCAACATCGTGGCCGTCGCGGATCAACATTCCTGTGCCTTGTGCAGGACGGCCCTTGTCACTGAGCATTGCTGGAGGAAATCTGGCCTGCCATTCCTCGCGCTCACACCGCTGAATGATGTATGGCAGAGCATCCTTCGATGTTCGCACCTCCTGGCAGCAGACGATGTCCACCGCCTCAGCTGCCGTCGAGTTTTAGAAACTTCCTGACCGATCGCCAGCAGCTGCCTTTGATCTTGGCGATCCTGGCCGTGTTACCCACGCGACTTGTATTCCTTCCTTCTGCCCTTGCTGGCGACGCAGAGGGCCTTGGCGCTCTGCTGGAGCGCCTCAGCGGCCACCTGCAGCTTGGGGGAGGGCGAGACATTCTGGCCGCGCAGGTCGAGCACCTGGTCGACTGCCTCGCTCGCGCGCTTCACGCCCAGGGCCCTCTTATCCGCGTCGGTGAGTTCCTCCTCCATGGAGGCGGCCTCCGCGCCGAGCGCAGCGGCCTCGGCTGGGCTGATGTCGCCCTCGCCCGCGGCCTCTTGCGGCACCGCGGCCGCGGCGGCGCCCAGGCCAGGCGTCACCGCCACCTCCGCGGCCCCACTCGCCGGGCTAGGCTGTGGGGCATGCTGCGAGGCCGCCTGGGCGGGCGTGCTCTGGACCTCCTGCCGCTCTTCGTGCAGCTGGGCCGAAGCTGCTGGATGGCCGACTGGACCTCGTTCGACGGGGCGAGACTTGGCGGGGACTGGCTCTGGATGATGGACTCCAGCGACGGGGCGGCGGCAATGGCGTGCTCCTTCAAGGCTTGCTCCATCGCCATCAGGTGCTGGGTCTCTCGCTGCTCGGTCTCGGCGACAAGGTTCGGGGCTAATTAGCTTGATCTGCTTATCATGCTTGCTGGCCAACTTGGCCATGGCCTGGCAGGCCTGGCTTCTTCCTGCTGACCCCATGCTTTAACTGATGTCAACTCTCCGACGGAAAACTGTACCGCGGTCGTGCACACAGCCATTGGGGCACGCTCTGGAGCCTCTAGTGCATGATCACCTGCAGCTCCTGCTGGGTGGCACTTGGACGGTGGGCTGACTGATCGCCTGCGCCACCTCCCTGGAGTACCGTTGTTGCTGTCGTAGGCTTGGATGAGGTGGCCGAGTCCGACCGTCGCCCTATGAAGGCTTGCCCACACGCACCACAGAACTTGAGCGATTTGTCAGCCCACGTCCAGCCTTTGCACTTTCCGTTTGACAGCCGATGTATTTGCGGGCTCCGATCCCGCGGTTGCGACTGGATGTCCTGTTGCTGCCTTGCATGGCTGAGTGCTGGCTGGGTGCCGAACGAGATTGGTGGTCTGGTTGCGCCGAAAGGACGCGGGGCGGGCCGAGTTCGCTGCAATATTGGGTGGACCTGACCAAGGCGGCAAGCTTGAGCCAGAATGGCTTGAGCCAGGGAGGTGGGAGGAAGAGGAGGAGGAGGAGGAGGAGGAGGAGGAGGAGAAGGAGGAGGAGGAGGCGGAGGAGGAGGAGGAGGATGAGGAGGAATGATGGAGGAGGGGGAGATGAGGATATGTAAGGATGAGGAAGAGGGAGGGAAGGAGAGGGGCAAGGAGGGCGGGAGGGGAAGACGAAGGATGATTGATCATGGATGGTAAGGGACGAGTGGTGAATGGAGGGGGGGGATGATGGAGGAAATGGGGAGAAGGAGGAGGAGGAGGAGGAGACGGAGACGGAGACGGAGACGGAGACGGAGACGGAGACGGAGACGGAGACGGAGACGGAGACGGAGAGGGAGGGATGGAAAGGGAGGGAGGGGAGGAGGAGCAGGCGGAGGAGGAGGGGTGGGGGCAAGTTGGGTGCGCTCGCATCATATCTGACGTCCTCCCCCTTCCCATCCTTTGCCATGGCGTAGCTCTCCTCTTTACTCGCACAGTCGGATATCGAGCAGGGCAATGATCCCGAGATGTGGCAATGCATCGTATATAACGGCACATCAGGGCGTAAAAGAGCACTGCAGAGCGTAGCATGTCATAGCATGGCGTAGCTTTGCGTAATGAAGAATTGCATCACAAAGCATTGCAACGCAAATTATGGCATCGCACAGCGGCACAGAGCAGCAAATTATATAGCATGGCGTTGAAGATCAAAGCGTCGCATGGGATAGCATGGCGTGGCGCTGCGTAGTCAAGCACTGCATATCCTAGCATTGCAGCTGAAGGCATGGCATCGCACAGCAGAACACCACATAGCATTGCATTGCATGCCGTGGCATGGCACTGGACAAAATGACACCGGCGCTGCACCGGGAGCACGATCCGGAACGAGCGGAAGCGCAGGAATGAGGCCAGCGCTGCAGCGGGAGCACGATGCGGAACGAGCGGAAGCCCGATAATGAGGCCAGCGCTCCAGCGGGAGCAACATTTGGGAAACAAATCCAAGCGAAAACCCAATTCCCGCGAATCCTGTGTGTAAAGAAGCAGTACGCGGAGGGGGCCGGACATCTTCTGGACGTCAGATACGAGGTGGATGTTGTGTGACAGTGACGTCATGTTTGTGAGATTGTCACACGGGTTGATGGTGATTCATTGTCAAAAGAGGTTCTCGCTTCCGAGATGAGTTCGAGAATCGAATCTTGAATTGGCGCAACAAGTACGTGGATGGAGGGCGGCTCGTTACCAAACCGTGATTCTCGTTGACCGTGTCCTTCAGTTGTCCAGTCGTACCCCTGGGCGCATCTCTGATTCAAAGCAGGGTTCTCAAATGCCTGACGGGCAGGCCCATGGGCCACAGGGCGCTCGTCGTTCCCTGGTGGCGCTATCCGCAGTTAAGAGGGATGCTTCTGGAGGAACTTGAGAAGAGGGGGGGGCGCCGGACGGGAGGGCGTGGTGCAGCAGCGCTGATGCATCTCGGGCTTGGTCTGATCCTCGAGACTCGCAGGTTGCCTGGAGGTCGTCGTTCACATCTCGCTGGAGGGTGGATCGAGGAGTCCAACCCAATGGAGTACCATGATGGCCTGAACCTGTGGTTTTGTGGGGCTTGTGGATGCTACGGGGACTTTCAGCTTCGAGGTCATGCCAAGCCCTGTGAGCCACAAGCTGAGACTCCGAATGAGTACCTCAACAGGATGTCATTTAGCAGGCGACTAACTAGCGCTCAATTCATTTGTAACTCGCTTCGCGATCGGTTCTGTTTTACCTCCTCTGCCCCCTCCCCGACTCCGTCATGACCCTCCTCCCCCCCCCCCCATTCCGTGCTCCCACTGATCCCCCACCCTCCTCCCCCTGTCCGTCCGCCTCGACCTCCCGGGGCCCACCAGGATCCTCCTCTCTACCTCGCGCAGGCCCAGGAGAGGGAGGCGGAGGGGGCTGGGACGAGGATAGATCCGTTCCAGAGCGTTCCGTTCCACAGAGCGCTCCGGGACGCTCTCAGAGCGCTCGGGAACGCTCTGAGAAGGCCGCGGCGGCTCCCGAGACATCCTCCAGAGCCGCAGGATCTCAGCGCTTCTCGACGTATCCTCGTCTGGTTTTTATCCTCGTCCTGGCTTCGCCTCAGGGAGGCGGAGACGGACGAGGAGAACCTCGGGGGTCCCTCCCAAGCCCGTGCGGCGCCCGAGCCCGCTCGGCCTGCGCCGCGTGCCGTCGAGCGGGCTCGGCTCCGACGAGGCCGCTGGAGCGCTGGCCGCTCCGAGCGGTCTCGATCTTGGGGGAGTCGGACAGACGTAAGAGTGACCCGTCGACGGAGTGGCCTTTGGAGCCGTCTCATCGGGGCCCCCGATCGCCGAACGCGAGGCGACAGGAGCATGTTGCGTGCTTGTGCGTGGTCTCCCCGCAGCCCCCAGAAAGCCGCATACCAACGGTCACTCTTACTCAGGATCACTCTTGCGTGTATCGGGGGCGAGCGAGGGGGGGAAGTGAGAAGTAGAAGGCCGTCTCAGAAGGCTCGCAGGTCCTTCAGCCCCCGAAGACACAGAAAATGTTTCAGCAGGCCTTCTGAGAAGGTCGTCTCTTTCTCATTGCCCAACCCTCGCTCGCCTCCGAACCAATGGTCACACTTGCCCAGGGTCACTCGTTGCGTGTAGCCGAGGGAGGCAGATGATCCGGCGGGCCCAGGACCAGGGATGAAACCGATCCAGAGCGCCCCCGAACGCTCTCAGAGCGTTCCGAAGCTCACCGGAACGACCGTGGCAGGGCTCTCGATTCTTCCGATTCGATTCGATTCGATTTCAAAAGATTCCGATTCCGACTCGATTCAATTTCGGATTCCGATTTGGGATCCGATTTCCCATTGGAGGCCTAGTAGTAGCCAGCCGATGTCTGCCAATTCGACTTTGCCCGACTCGGCTGTCGATTCCCGTCAATCCGATTCATATCAATCTCCGATCCGACTTGTCGATTCGATTCTGGGCTCTCCTGCCGTGGTGCCCGATACATTCTTCCAGAGCCGCTGGATCTCAGAGATCCCAGTTCTGTCCCAGTTCGACCTCGTCCCCGTCCCGTCTTCGTCTCGGGAGGAGGAGTTCGATGCATACACCTCGTCGCTTGGTCGGCCAAGGATCTGCGGCTGGAATTTACACATGGCTACCCTCTAGAGGACTAATGTTCGTGGACCTCGGCAGGCGGTGGATATGGACATTTTCGGGCCCCTTGGGGGCCAACCTCTATCCATATCCACCGCCCGCTAGGGCACCAGGACGTCGGTTCCCAGGCGGTGGACCTGGATAAATCCCCGCCATGCAAAGGAGCCAAGGAGTGCGGCGAAGGAGCTCAGTGTATAGACGCTTCCGCGCTCCACATGTTGGGCAGATGGAGCGTCTATACGCCGAGCTCCTCGGCCGACCAAGCGGCGTGGTGTGCACGCCGGGCCTCCATAGGAGGAGCTCTGGGCCCGCCGGCGCCAGGCACTACGGGCAGCCACCGCTGGGCAGCGGCTGCGGCGGCGGGCGCCTCTGCCCCTGCTGCGCTCTGTCGGGGCAGTGCCCGTTCGTGGTCGTTCTCCCAGGATCGAGCTACAGTCGAGGCTGGAATTGTATCATCGAGCACAAACGAACCCCTAACCCTAATAGCACGACGAAGACGTGGCGTCACTGAGGTCCCACTTTTCGCATTAGGGATAATACTGCTGGGCGGTTTGGCATCTGCAGAAAAGGGCCTCCGATCCCTCATGTTTGGGGCCATCCTAACTTAGGTCCCCTCCCAAAGGCTTAGGGGTCTTTTGTTGGTTAATTATAATAGGTCGACCCTGCCAAATCCAGGGTACCCTGGTGTCCTATGTCTCGCGGCCCATGCCTTCTGCATTCCTATTGGTGGCCCTATGCTCTTCGTTGCCGCTCTCTCAGAGTAGGGCTATGGGGTCCTTGCCACAGGAAGCTGTCACGAGCATGTGCGCAATCGTGTATGCAGTAAGTCACACCTCGCACAATGCCCCGTGCAGTGAATGGGATGCCATGGTTCGTGGCGCGCGGATGCAAAACACGTCATGTATGTGATGCAATCGTAAGCCCCCCCGTCTCTCAACGAGCAGCATTTCGCAATCGCTGGCGTGCCAAGATGCACTTGTTGTGTCTGGCCATGCAGTCATGCATTTGGTTACTGCAACGGTTGATTCCGCCGGTGCGATAGTTCGCCAATGGTTGCGAGCAGTAATTTCAGCAGCTCATTCACGCAACAAGCTACTGCATCTGCGTTTGCGGACCACGAGATTCTAGGTTGTTGGACGTTTTCGCGGGGACTTGGCGGTTTTCCAGCCTCGGTGTACTCCAGAGGCTACGCGTCGCCCAGAGGCGTCCTGGTCCGGGGGTGATGGGGTCTTCAAGTTATGACCAGAAAATATGAGGTTTAGGAGAGAGGAGGCGGATGGGGAGGGAGGAGGGTTCGAGGGTCGGGGATGTTCGTCCTCCTCCCTTCTCCACTTCCTCCGCGTCCATCTCCATCGTCCAGCCTCGTCCTCCCAGGAAGATGGGTGGAAGGTAGGAGGATGACAAGGGAAGAGAAGGAGAAGAAGGATGATGATGAAGAAGAGGAGGAGGATTAATGATGAGGAGGTGAAGGGAGACGAGGACGGGCAAGAGCAGGGGGAGGCCTGTCCAAGGAGGGTTTCCCCGAGGATTTGTCCGTATCCCTGCTGAGTTGTCCAAGGAGTTGTCCGGGGTAGGTCGTCTTGTCGTCATTGATCAGCCTATGTTGTCTGGGTTGTCCGACGGGTTGTGCAAGTTTTTTTTGTTCGTTGGATGAATGTGTCCGATGAACATAGTCGAGGTTCGCTGATCGACGTCATGATTCGAGGGTCGAGGATCGAGGACTTTGGATATTCTTCGCCCTTCTCGGGCCTGCGGGTGTTCCAGGAGGCTTCTCGTCGCCACGCCCGGCGTCCCTTCGACGTTCTGGTCAAGACGTCTTCCTGGACTGGGGAGACGTAAGATTGGAGTACGCCGGAACTCGGTTTTGCCAATGCTTTTTGACGGGCCCGTCCTGGATTTTGACTGTCCAGTTTTCGTGGGATGTCTGCAGCGGGAGTTCGCCTCGAATTTTAGGTTGGGTCTCGTCATTTTCTTGACGGCCCCGTCAGGCCAACCCGAGTCCCCCTAATCCGAGTCTTACGTCTCCCCGACTGGACAAGTCTGGGGGCCGAGTTTTGAAGGCTGATGAGGGAGGATGACCCAGACCTCTGACGTCTTGACCAAACACACGTCGGGGGTTGCTGTTCGGGCACCAGGATGGGGGAGGAGGGCCCGGGCCCCGGACCTCCGACGTCTTGATCAAACTCAAAGCGGGGGATGCTGTTCGGGCCCCAGGGCCTTCTGGACCTCCGACGTCTTGAGCAACGACAGCGATGGGAGTGCTTTCCGGGCCCCAGGTCCGTCAGCAAACTGCAGTCGACCCACACAGTAAGGATGAGCGACTTTCCAAGGGTACCCTTGCATCCTTCCCCTTCGGACCATCCTTGGCCGCTTTCGCTGGCCGAGCCCCGCTCGCAAAGTGTCGGCATAGCCTTCCAAGGCCCCGGCATCCTTCTCGTGTGTTCTTATTAGATTGGTTGACTGCACTCGGGATGAAAACGCGGGGGGGGGCGCAGGGGGATGCGAGGGTGTATGCGAAGGGCCAGCACCAGCAGCGGACGCAGTGCCAGGCTCGGGCCGGACGAGGGGGGAGAGGGGGGGGGGGGGCCAGAGGCAAGGCTGGACCTAAACGCTGTTTTGCTGGACTTCGGCTGTGTTTTGTTTTTCGTTGTTGGAGGGAGGTGCAGGAAAAAAAGGTAGAGAGAAACGAAAAACATAAAGGAAGCACTGGAAGCACAACGAAAAGCACAGGTTAATTAGCCTGTCCAGAGGCAGCGTTTGGGGGCGATGGGCTCAGGGGGGGATGCCTCGCCCCCAGTCGCCCAGTCATCGCCGATGGGCGACAAGGGGCCCGATGGCCCGCCCCGCCCAGGACCTTGCGGATCCTGTAACGGGGGCCTGCCGTCGATCTATCGGCGGTGCATTGCCAGTTCCAGGTCGACGTCTCCCCCCCCGAGCCAGTCCCCCTCTAACTATCTTTCCCCTTCAGAGGAGGGCTTGGGAAGGGGTGGGTATCGCGAGATTTGCTGTGTGCTGCCAGTTTCTCCTCTTTCACTTCTTCCCTCGGAGTTCCTCCTCTTGAGCTTCCCCCTCCTCTTTCTTCTCTTCCCCCCTCCTCCTGTCCTCCCCCGCCTGATTCGGGTCGGACAAGAGGGTGTGTGAGGTCCCTCGTCTCCTCTTCGTCCTATTTTCTCCTCCCCTCCTCCCCTCCCCTCCCCTCCTCCCCCACCTGACTCGAGTCGGACTAGAGGGCGTGTGTTGGGGGGAGTCACGAAAGCTACTGCGTGCAGCTGGTCTCAGATCCTCGCCGCCGGGCGCTTCCCGCGATACACGTGCGCGCCTCTGGCGACCGGGAGGCGAAGGAGAAGCGGGTACGTGAGCCGATCCGCCAGGCCCCCTTTATTGTTCAAGTCGGGCATGCCCCTGTACAGGAGGAATATTCAAAAATAGTAAAACAATAGTCCAGGAACGACGTTTCACCTATCTTTGATTATTTCTGGGCATGTTTTACTTCTTTTATTTTTCCTCCAACATTCGCCTGTAGGAGGACATGACCGACCCAACTGTACTGCCCCCCACCCCCCTGTCGGTCTGCCTGCTCGACAGAAGAGAGGGGTCGGGCGTTTTTGTTGGCCCTCCGCACGGGCCCTGTCTACTGTCCGAGCACTGGCGGTAGCGTGTCCAGTCGGCCTCGGTGCCTCGCCAGGTCCAGAAGAATACCTTACAACATCAGTTGCACAGTATACTTATGTTTTGATTCGGCCACCCAGAAGTTTCGAACATTGTTTGGGAGTCCTCGATGATGCCGAAGCGCAATTCCTGGGACTCTAACGCCTCGAATCAAGTTGACTGTTGCGTCCAGATAATCCTGAGACGCGTCCCAGGTCTACGTTGCGAATCCACGTGACTACTGCGTCCAGACATTGCTACATCGTGCCAGAACGCCATTCTTGGGATTTGAACCCTACGAATCCGAGAAATTTCTACAAGTTCTTGAATCGCTTCGCTCATTACGCCGACCCGTGGGGGCCTCTTGGGAGCCTCTTAGGGTCTCCAAAAGGCCTTTTTGGGGCCTCTTACTTCAGCACTTTTGCCGCTACCATGATATAACCATCAATATAACCCATGTTGTAACTATCACAAACCAATATATAACATGTACAAGTTCAATTATAAGTCGTACAACCCAATAGAAACTTTGTTATAAGTCTCATGAGACTTATATATATGGTAATGGTGTTGTAGTGGGTTTATAGACGACTTTATGAACTATTTATGAAAAAAGACAACCATACTAACAAATAGTTATGAAAAAGATATAGGAAGTTACGACTTGACCCCCAAGAGTTACAAAACAGTTACAGAGTTACAAAAAAGTTATGAAAAAGTTATGAAAAAAAGTTATGGAACGATTGGGATGGCGTGCGAACGCGGCCAGAAAATGTCACACACGCGAACACTCATTTATACGCATGATAGGGTCCTGTTGACGTCCGATGGGGCCTGCAGGGCCACGATCTGGCCAGGGCCACGATCTTTTGAGGGGTGCCACGACATGAGATCCCCGCGGGGTTCCACAGGGAACTCTGCGGGGTGTGCCGAAGGGGTGTGCCGAAATGTGCGTGGGGAATGTTATTGCAAGGAGGTCTCGAGCGAAACGGCCGCCGACGGCCTCGTCTGTAGCCATTTTGGCTCAGGCTTGTTTAGTTCGAGCTCGATCGGGGCCGCATGCGACCGCCGACGAAGAGGACCCGCTTTGAGCGGGCGGTGGAGGAGGCTGGTCTGGGCGCGTCACTGGCCGTCGCGCGGCGGGTTCTGTCGTGTGCTGCAGGGCACGGCGAGGACTCGGATGGCGACGACGACGTCGACGATGGGACCGCTGCCGACATGTACGCGCGCGTGACTGGCCTTTGCAATTCATATGGCAGGGTGGTCCAGACGTTGCGGCTGCCGCTGCAAGACGGAACGTTCTACGAGTGGTCAGTGGCCCACCCTTGTGCGCTGTTGTCATGGCTGTGTTCCGAGTGTCCGCAGCTGGAAGCGTTTATTCGCGAGCATTGTTCTGGTCAAGTGAATCGCGTTGTATTTTGGGGAGACGAAACAGTAGGAGGCAATCCACTACGTCCAGATAATAGGACCAAGTTTCTTGCTGTATATTGGAGTTTCCTCGAGCTGCCCGATTGGTACAGGGTCCTGGACCATGGGTGGATCCCAATCGGGTTCATTAAGGCCGACACTTTGAAGGATGTCGTGTCCGGCTATTCTGGAGTGTTGAAGCACGTTCGCGCGCCTTTGGCTCCGACCGCCGACCCTTCTCCCTGGTTAAACAGCAGCTAAAATACTCACTGCGTGGAGCTCCCCATATGTGCATCTCATGTTTTATGTCATGTCG